AGACATCTATTTTACCGTTGTCGTTAAAAAATATCGATACATCTTCAAATTGTATTACGGGTGTATCACTGCTTGGATGTTTTATTGACAGCAAGCTTAACTTTAACAAACACTGTGATAATATTACATACAAACTGAATAAGTCAATATTTTTACTTAAACGACTGCGCAGTAGTACGTTAAAAGCAGTTATGCTTTCCGCGTATTACGCATTGATTCACAGTACTCTTGCCTATGCAATACTAGCGTGGGGTCATAGTGCTTCATGGAAGTTCATCTTTCGCCTCCAACGTAAGGCCGTACGCGTGATTAACAATCTACAGTACAGGGATGATTGTCGTCAATCATTCTCGGAACTAAAGATTCTAACTCTTCCAAGTCTTTATATTCTTGAGGCCTTGTGTTTCTGTAAGAAAAATATGGTGGAGAATGTGTTACAATCCCAGGTGCATTCATATAACACTAGACAAAGGGATAACTTAAGGGTGACTTTTTGCCGATTGTTGAAGAGCCAAAATGGTGCATCATACCAATCGCAATCTTTATTTAATATAGTTCCTCCAAAGATTAGATCGCTACCCCTCTCAGATTTTAGAATTACGTTAAAAAAATTGTTTATTCAACACCCTTTGTTCTCATTTGATGAGTTTAACGACTTCTGTTGGAGTGTTTCGTAACTGTATCAGTCATTCTGTGTTATATATGTTTTTCTTTTTTGTTTTTATTTTATTATGTTTGTTGTATTATATGCTAGTGTATGTTCTTTATCTAATGACGAGTGTAAATGTATCAACATGTCTGCACATATATATATATATTATTATTATTATTATTATTATTATTATTTACTTTTATTACACCTCAAACTGTCACGAAAAATTGTTGCCATACTGTAGCAAATCGCCCAAATTTTCCGAAAATTCTTACATTTTTGAAAAAATATTATACATAATTGGTCCATGCCACAGGTATGGCGTATCGAAATTTCTATTTCTGACTATAAAAAGAATAGGTGGAAAAATGTATAGGGCGCCCAAAATTATTTACAAAAATGACATCTTTGTGCGGGTATGGCGGCTATGGGGGCCCGTCGCTGCGGTATGGCAGGTTGATTTTCGTGAATGACTGTTTAAGGACTTGATGCTCATAAAAAAATGAGCTTGTAGCAAATCACCCAAAAAAAATACAAACAATCGACACTTTCAAATGAGTATGGCGGGCTATAAGGCCCACCGGAAAAGTATGGCATTTCGTTTCCGTCATTTGTTTTGTCACCGACTACCAGAAAATCCAAAGAATTTTGTGTAGCAAATTGTCCAAAATCATTAAATTTTCCGACATGTTTAAACAATTGTCACGCAATAACGGCCCCACTCCCAGAGAGTTAGCACCATTTTCGTTTTGAGGAGTACTTAATTAAACGTTTGAATGGTCGCCATACTTGTAGCAAATCACACCACAAAAAGTGTCATCATCTCCCGGTCTATATACCAACATAATGCAATCACCGAGGCAATCACTATCGAAAAGCGAGTATGTAATAAAATAAGTTATGCATATCTGGACTATTTTGCAATAATACTCATAATTTATATCTTTGACCTCATTCCTAATTACAGAAATGAATATTCATATTCTAATTTATTTTATAAATAGCTAGAGGGGCATTCGCTTCCACAAAAAAAAAGCAAAAGTATGATTCATACTACTATCACTGCTGGACTTATTGACCCACAACGGATTTCATTTGTATGCAATACCACGGAAATTTGAGGTTTGCAATTATGATAAATACTGGCGGATATCCGCCAATGTTATTCATTATTCAAATATCGCGAAGTAAGACATTCCCCCAACAGGGAACGGGGATTGTCAGGCATACTAACTTAACCTCGAACCTCGCTTCGAACTTAACCCAAGAGATTCAAAGTGTTTTTATTCAATGATTATAGTTACCTACTTAAACTGTTTAAAATGAATGTTTATTGTCGTTTTGGGCCGCAATTATGTAGCCCACTTAATAGAACGTAATTTGTTGAGAACTACTAACTTATCCTAGTCAATTGGAACAAGATAAAAAAAATTGCGCACATATGAGGACTATAATTGCAAATTTTTTGTAGAAAACCAGCACATCAAGCAATTAATACGACTATGGCACGTAATTGACGATTTGTCTGTGAACATTTTTGTGCACTGCCGTTACGGCACTACTAACTTCACAACTTTTTAAAGTCACAAATAGAAAACAGGAGTGTTTGTGCCGTTATGTGCGCTATCCAGATAACTACCGAGAGATGGAGATGCACCCAATTTGCTATATATTAAGTATATAGTTTGGTCTTGAGCAGTGGTGTAACTAGGTAGGTGCCGAAGGTGCCTTGGGTGGTACAGGGTATAGGCCAGTCATCAAAGACAAAAAAGGCAGTTAAATTCGAATAGTTAGCTAAAGTCGACTACAGGGTGCAAAACACTGAAATATACTGAAAAATGGTGACCCTTTAGGTATCGCTTTAGGTAGAACGGAAAATTATTAAAAACTGAAAAACAACAAGACATATATTCTCCCACACACAATGATAAAAGTTATGCAAACTTGTGGAAACGTTAAGTGATTAGGTATAACAACTCTTCCATAAGTTCGCCACCTTTTTTTTTTACTAAGGGACACTTTGAATATTTATCAAGGTATTTATCAATTATTTATAACAATGCTCGTAACAATGATTGTAAGTAGTCTGCCCAAAATTTCAAAAGTATCTCGAAAAATATGCAAACGAGAGTCATCATTTGCACCCCTATTCCAAGACTTAATCATTTCCTCGGAAATTTGTGTGTAAATTTGAAAGAGCGTAACGCGTGATACATATGTAACTTTTGAAATTTCATGCAAAGGTGCATTCAAAAATTTTCATTGTTTTGTTGATTGGTATGGTAAACGAGATGGTAAATGATAAGGCGCGAAAATCAGGTAGGGCATCAAAACCTGATCCGGCACCGTTTCAAAAAATACCTAGTTACACGAAATATGTTCATATGTACTGGTTTTTGTGTTTTAGAAAAAAGCCATCTTGCCGATATTGCTAATTAATTCTTTTAGTCGACCCTTGAGATGTAGTGACCGAATGTTGGTTTTGTGTCAATCCAAGGTAAATACAAGTATGTCAACTGCCGAAGCCTACATAAATGCTATATATTTTGTTTATAATTATTTTTTTAATATGTAGGCTGACATGTCATGACCAGAGCAACTAAAGTTAAAGACTACTCGGTGTGGGATTTGAACTGGTCATCCAATATCCAAATTTATGTGAATTTATTATAATGCTTTAAGTTTTTTTTTATATTATGTGTCTAATATTAATTCTTTAGGAATTCCAGTGCAGTCTATGATTCGAAATTATATGACTTCACAGCCATTATAATATGCATTCATACCATTACAGACAACTAATTTGGCTATAAAGCTTAATATAAAATTTGTTAGCTGTTTTTTTTCTTCATCAGTTCTTTTTTTCCCCAGCCTATTTTTATATTTGTACTGGGTGAACCTCGGGGTGAACTAAAATTTAATCTTGCAATGCGATTTATTTTATTAAATTTCCGTTTTTAAGCATGTACTTGTTTTATTTCTATTTCTTACTTGATCCTCACTCCGACAGGCAACACATATCTTGTAGCAACTTTTAAAAACACAACGTAGTAGGTGGTCCTAGTATTTTGTTATTCAGATTAGGTAGATTTGTCTAGCTAGACGATCATGTGCCATGGGGTTCAGTTAGTTTGGGAGGGACTAACTAATTGAATGCATGCTTCACCAAAGGCCTGTAGTTTTAAGTATTAAAGGCTATCGAGGTACTGCCATCAGAGTTGGACTGGGTCACCTGGGTCACTAAATTAAACTGGGTCACTGGGTCGCTGGGTCACGTCATACTCTTTTCAGTTAATACACAATATAACTCCATCAATATATACTTGACGGGAGGGCATAATGAGGGTACAATCAATTATGCCCCTCGTTATGCCCTCGGACGTCATAAACTGCTTTATATATCTCATATGATATGACAGATATAATTGGCATAGGTATGATAGGCAAATCCAAAATTGTTAGTAGACAAGTTGATAAAGTAGTAAGTAAGGTTTGATGTCAACTGTCAATTTAATGCCAGCTGTTTTTCCTTCACGTACATACCATATAAACACTCGAAAAAAACGTAAATATTGATTTGTAAGAAACGCACAGAAATGCGACAGTAAGCGCAAAGTTAAAACGACGAAGATTGACAGCTATCAAATATCAATGCTATGTTGCTACCATGTCACTTGTACTTTCTTGTGCACAGGTAATGTCATTGAGCAGAGTGGATAAACATGTCTTTGGCGGTACATTTAGTTAGGCAATAGAGCTGCGATTTATCGTACTTTTTGTCTGAATTGGAATAGTTATGACCAGAACCAGAACAATAAATTATTGAATGCTGCTAAGTGGGCAAAAACAAAACAAAATCGAGGTCACGAGCATATCTATCTATCAAGTATGCATTAGTAGCATAGTCCTTGTAGTACCGTTAATATTGAAATGAGTGAATAAAACTACTTATTCCAAGTTGTAATCAGTGTGCAGTGCAACTAAAACACCCGGTATATCTTCTGCCACAAGAATAAAAATGACAACCTACAGGCATTTCGTCCCAGTTCCATTATTTATATTTGTATGATATGAGTAAATGTTTAATAATAAAAACCTACATATTTCTTTCCATGCTGGATTAGAAATATTTGGATTACGTCATGTTCATCTGACCAATTAATGGCAAGTGCCGCTGCCGCCTAAACAGCACGCCTACTTAGATCATTTTACATTACCATTTGAAGACGTGAATGTGATCGAGTAAAATTGATTTGATACCTACTCTTCCAATCGGCGATAATAATAATAAAATGACAATTGAAAGGGGAAGCGACGGAATTTATGCTATGGGTCAATACTCGCTTACCTAATTCCTCAACTAGCCTTAGCATTACACCCCCAACATGTAAATCTCCTTTAACCCGAAGTACACGTTCCGTTTGTAAGTCGGTAACGTACACTCGTAAGTTCCACGATCCATCACCAATTAATTGTCCGTTCGATATCATTTTGTGCGATTTTTCCGGTTAACAAACGGCACCACAAATTAGCATACACGCCCACTTTAAACATTCATGGTAATCTTCAAACACAGATCATTTTAATAACACTCGTACGTATCCAGTCACTAATTACGAATCACAGTAGTATTATTGTGCATTAGTTTATCAAAATATGTAAAAAAATAAGTTAAACTCTTAAATAGTGTTCCTAAGTTAACGTTAAATATAACATTTCTATTTATAAATCAACAAAACTGGGAATGACTGCGGAGGCTACGTAGTAGGTGCATGTTACGTGTATCGCCCACCACCGCTTATGAAATTATCAGCCGAATGTAACCGATTCCTCCTATTTTCTGAAAATCCTTTTACATTTCATAATTCCTAAAACTTTCCGAAATTAATGACAATCATTAATCATTATTAATGCGGTATCAAGATGTTACGCCAATTCCTGCACCCAGTCACATAAAGAGCAAAAAAAATGGACAGGGACGGAGTCCGCGGATATGTGACTTGGGGGGCCTTGGCAACTTAGTCATTGGTAGAGTTTGGGAGAATCAATTGTGAAATATTAATTAACTGTTAATTGATAGGTGATTGTCGAATCAATGTAGGTTACAATCACCGACCGTGGTTAAAATCCTTGACAGTCGAAGGAGAAAAACAAATATCCTAGCGATTGATGCGGTGTAAAATAAGTTGCCTACCTATAGGTACAAAGACTTCAACACATGGTGTATAATTAGGCTATACACCGTGTCCAACATGTAACGTAAATTTAATTATCTAATTTATTTAATTGTTTATTTGTATAAAATTAACTATTAATGTCCACCGTAACTAATGAGTAATCAGTAATGATAGGTTTATACCATCATAATTACCTCACTATTATTGTATAATTAAGAAATAGCCAATAGAAACGAAGGTATGGTTTCGTTGGTTAGTTATGCACAATAATCCTTTGTTTTTATTTGCAATTTCTTAATGACCTAATGATAATGATTTATAACAATTCAAGATACAATATACAAAAATGATGAAAAAAAAAAAACTAAAGCTACACTTTAACTCAGGGCTGTATGCTTAGTGCATAGAGAATCCCTTTCCCTATTAAATTTCTTTTTGATGTTAAAAAATTCACTTTCTTTCTTCTCTTTTCTCCTCTTGTTTTTTCCTGTAGATATCTTAAAAAGAAATTTTTTTGTTTTACTCTCATGTAGTGAATGCTCATGTATATCATTTTGTATGGGAATAAAGTCAATTATTATTATTATTATATTTATCACTTACTTGCAGTTAATTTATAATACAAGCATAGATTTCGTTATTTATCACTACGACATAGATGTCACGACTGAAATTCAACACAACCCAATTTGGAAACAATAGCAAACATTAAACCATCTTGATAAATCTGCAAAGTACATATTTCATAGAAAGAACGAGTCACATTCGCTTTTATTCCTTATCGTCATTGATATCGTTCTAGAAAATTCGCTAAAATATTATCATTGCATTCAAAGGTACAATGATATTACCTCGAAAACGTTTTTTTAAACTGAGACACTACCAAAAATAAGTAATACAAAATTTGCCGCATTTTTTCCCTCCCATTAGATGAGGGAATAAAAACTTTGCAGTTTTTTTAATTTTTTTTTTCAAAACAATACGACTACCAAATTAATAATTTGCAAAAATAAGGAAAGCTAAATTTGCTCCTTTTTGCTAGTTGTCCAAATCAATTCATGCTTCTATCAAGTATCGTTCTGTTTATTTTATTTATATATTTATTGTCCCTCTCTTGTTCTGGATCCTCAACAGGCTTGTGCCCAATTACAAAGTGATATTGCTTTTTAGAGGTGCTCCTGCAGAAGGTCTTAAGTTGTTTTATACTACTCTGGTAGTTACTTACGAATCAGCAAAACTGCAGGAGAACCTAATTCGGAGTAGACGGCAGAATGCTCGAAACTGGTCTAAGGAAATTCTCATTTCTGCCACAGATGAAAAATTCTTAGCTCAGCCCAGGTTCGAACACCCGACCGTCCGGCTATGTAGCCTAACATGTAAAATTTTGAGTTTTTAATTTGGGAAGATATTGCGTTTCATTTTTTTCACGTATAAAAATTCTATTGTTATAGAACTTTTAAAAACTTATAAACTTAAATGGTACACCCCCTGTATATATTTTTCAAATGACTACATTTACTAAACTGCGTGTTAAATAAGAAAAGTTACGTAAGTACTTTCTTTAATTTTTTCTATGTTAGTATATTGATTAAACATTTTTTTAACCAAACCTCATTAATTCCCGAAAGCAACGTATTAGGTGTAAAAATGTGTACAGAATGCAATATTATAAAAATATACAAGGTGTGCTATTTCAATTTTGAAATTTGTGGTCATATAAGTCGTTGAGGAAAGGAATCCAAAATGTTATATCCAGATCTCCAATTCTAGCAAATGGTTATAGGAATTACCCCAGCTTGATTTTACACACTGTATATATCGATTTTGGCATACAAAACGTATGCTCGCGTTTGGCGTCAAAATTGTAGATCTATAAAGAACCACGGAAGTACAAAACCAGACAATATTCATTATAATCAACTTAGCGGGATATTACATTTATTACTGTCCATATTTTTATTTATTTAGGTCTTTATTTTAAAGTGGGCGGGGTTTCAACCAAGGCTGCAATATTCTTTTTTCTATAGTATTGTCCCACTGAGTTGATATCAACGCATAGACATATATGTCTATGCATCAACGTATAGCGAAACATCAATTAAAAAAAATATATAAGAACGGCATGATTCTTGTTTGATTAGTGGTAAAATAACCAGAAATTTAGAGCCACTTACTTTTCCGACATTATTTTTCTTTTTTGGTAGTGTCTCGCCAACTTGATATCAACTTAGTCAAACATCAGTTTTAAAAAAAATGAAAATAAATGAGCAGTAAAGTTTTTATTCCCACAAATAATTAACGACAAATTTAGCATTACTAGTTTATCATTATTATTATTAATTTTATGATATTTTTCCCAGTAGTGCCTGCCAACGTAGAGATTTGTTTTAAATTAAACGAGCGATATTTTTATTTTTTAAATTTTGCGAGTTTAGAGAGCCCGATTGTTATACTTTTTGTTATTTTACGCAATAAAATTCAACTATGCCAAAAGTGAAAGTTGTGCACTATCAACTTGCATAGTTCTTAGAATCAATAAATCGGCTGGTCCCTGTATACAACTCGATGTACTTTAGACACAACCATGGACACAACGGTGATGATCAGTCTGTGATTCTGCGCCTGCGTAAGTGCGTCGGTATCATTTATCAAATACGATTTGCAAGTCATAAAATTTTATTTCAAAAAGTTCTGATTTCCTGAAATCGTCTGTAAGTTCAATTTTTAGATTTACTAAAATTATTAATAGTATCTAATTGTCATCTATACAGTTAAGCCATTCGTTGGGAACATGTATCTGTTAAATAATTTGTAGGTTATAAAATAATAAATTTGTGTTGCTCTGAAGATATAAAAGTGGATAGTGAGAAGCTTTGCACTAATTTTCCGTTTACTTCAGTTCTTCAGTGTGTTACTATTTCGTTAAATCACATAGCACAAAGATTTCTATGGTAATTTTTCAGAAAATGCCTTCTGGTGGTGCGCTTTTTGGAAGTTCGGCCGGTGGACCTGGCTCAACCGGTGGCATAAAGCATCTCATCGAAATGAGAGCAGGGAAAATGAACCAGAAAGGTACTTGATATGCTCAGACTTAATTATTTATAGCATGTGTATTTAACGAGTCATACTGAACTCTGTTTGGCCCCATTGATCTGACATTTTGAATTATAATTACATGTGTTTACAGGACGTATGGTGGTTCCTGATGTTCGGAAGGGTCTGTTGTACGTGTATCAGAGTGAAGATTCGCTCATGCATTTTTGTTGGCAAGATAGAACAACTGGTAGGTACTAAACCATTGGTATAACTCGGCGTAATAAGGTTTATGTTCTTTGTGCTTATTTATATTGATGTGTCACCTTGCAATGCAAATATTTTCTCATTGGCTGAATAGGTAGTTCAAAATCAAGTTGTTTTGAAATATGGAAATATGAAGGTGCCTGTCAAATATGATTGACATATACAGGGTGTCTACTAATGAACCCAATAGTCTGAAATGTTCATTTTCAATCTTATTTACTTCTGGTTTTCTCGGGGTTTACTGATCAATACATAGTTTGTTATTTTAAATGTGATGTCACATTTTTAATTGATTGCTTTTAATGTACATTTGAACTAAATTTGATGTCGTCACCATATGCCTAAACCTAATGGTTTTTTATTTGAGTTTCTTCACAATTGCTGTATGAATGTACCATTTTATAAAATAAAGTGCATTTAGCAGTTTACCTGAGGCAGACAATTATGAATTTACATAAATAGAAGTTCAGCTGTCCCTTATTTGTAATCACAATAATTTATCAAAAAAGATGTCAAGTGATTCATGATGAAGATGGCAACAAATTTTACAATATGTCTCGCAATATGTTTTCTTAAATAAGATTGCATAAATTAATGTGGGAAGAAGAATAGTGCTTGTAGATGCTCACTACTAGAACTGTTACGTGACTATTTTTTACTCCATTGATGAATTCTTTTTGCACAATTTTGAAAAATATAATACATAAATGAATCTGTGTGACGGGTGTAAAATACTTTTGTATTGTTGACACAAAATAAAATAATTGATTATTATTACTAATGGTGGTAATGTTTTTTTTTTGTAATTAGGTATAGTAGAAGATGATCTAATAATCTTCCCTGATGATTGCGAATATGTGAAAGTCCCTCAGTGTACAACAGGCCGAGTGTATCTTCTAAAGTTTAAATCTTCGCATAGGCGCTTTTTCTTCTGGCTACAGGTATAAAAGAAAAATTGAATGAACAAGTATTAATTTGTCCTCCTTTAGGAACCCCGCACCGATAAGGATGAAGACAATTGCAAGAGAATCAATGAAATTTTAAACAATCCCTCTGGAAACGTCTCCAGTGGAGGGTCGAGCGATCAGGATTTACAGTCCCTGTTAAATAACATGTCGCAATCTCAACTAATGCAATTGTTTGGAGGCGGTGTTGGGCAAATTGGAGGGCTCTCCTCATTATTAGGAACTATGAAGTATGTTTTAATTGCTCCCTCGGTAATTGGCACTGACAATTTTTGTTATTTAGCCGTCCATCGACTGGTGGTACACGTAGTTCTGGAGCCACTCCCGCTTTAACACATCGTACCACTTCTTCAACTCCAAGCGCTACTACTACCAGCACTACTGCACCGACTGGCACCACTACGACAACTACTGCGGAAACCCCTACCTCCCAGCCAGTTACGCAATCTGCCAGTTCCATTAATAGCCCAATTCAATTAACCGATTTGCAAAACTTTTTGCAGGGCATAGCACCGACCGCTTCGACCGATCCGCAGTCCGGTAAATGAATTACCTTTACCATTCCTTGTTACAACATTTCTGTTTTAGTGGACTTGTCAACCGCACTAACAGGTGATGCTTTGTCCGGTTTGTTGAGCAATTCTGATGCAATGAATCAACTAGAGACCCATCTTCCCGCTATCGGCGGAACAACTGAAGATCAGCTTCGATCAACATTAGCTTCTCCGCAGTTTCAACAGGTAGTTAATGAGCGTGATTAAAATCTCTCAGTACGTTCTTTTAGGCTGTGCAGCAGTTCTCGAGTGCATTAGAATCAGGACAGTTAGCACCCATTGTTTCTCAACTAGCCGTTAGTTCGGAAGCAGTTGCAGCCGCTTCACATGGTAACATGGCGGATTTTGTTAAGGCGCTGGAGAAAGGTGGTTCGGATGAGTCTTCCAAGAAGGACGAAAAAAAGGAAAATAAGAATAAGAAGAAAAATAATCCGGATGATGATGACGATGAAGGCATGCAGTTAGATTAAAATTCTTTATTAAAACTCGTTACATTTTTATTTCTTTTTGCGTTTATTTGTTAGTTTTTCTTCCTTTACATTTTCTACAGTTTTAAACTGCTTTAGGTCTGCACAAAATAGTATCTAGAAATAAATACAGGTAACATAATATGCCACACACTATCAATACGTACTGTATGTGCCCAGCCTGCCAGAGGACCATATAGTTTTCTGAAATGATTACCAATGTCTGTGTATATTTTGTCTGTAATGCTTTTCTGTTTGGGTAGATTTGGTAAATATAATCTAGATGCTATTTGATACATGTGCGTATCGACTGGTATTGCCTGTAGATGTCCCAGTGACATCAAACAAATACAATCTGCTACCTGAAATTTGTTAACAATTTAATTAAATAAACTGCTTTGTAGTCAAACATGTTTTGTTCATCATGTAGGGCACACAGTGAGGAAATCAATTTACAAGTTAGCGAACACATTGTAAGTATATTGGTCCCTGTATAAAGAGAAAGGTGGAAAATTTATGGAATTAATTGACACTTTTTTTTTCTTGACAGTAAATTTAACCTATTTTTCAAGAAATTGATACACCTATAAAGACTTGAACCACCTCGAAAGCTGACATGATTTTTGGTTTTTGACTAGAAAAACTACTATATTCAAAATTGGTCATAATCTTACAAACACCGAGTAAGCCATGCAAATAGTTTACACACCTTTGGCCCAATACCAGTTAAGCCTACTAAACATTTTTTGGCATCTAAATAATCCATACATTTAAGCTTCTCTAACCAAGCATCGCCCCCTTCCTTAACAATTTCCTGAGCAGCTTTAGCTATGTACTTGGCACGATAACCAAATCCATTTTTTCGCAAATTTTCCTCAACCTTTGCATCTGCCAAGTCTTCCACCTTGGGAAAACCATAATACACAATTCCATTCAGTTCGCATATTCTTGATCCGTAAAACGTTGCCAATTTTTCAACCATACTTGATATCCTAACAATTATCATGATTGGAAGGGATACACAAAAATAATAAAGTATCTACCTTGTAATGTGATTATTCTGGGAACAGATGAAGGAAAAGAGATTTTCTACAGGATCTTGTTGTAATATCCTGATTCCATAAAATTCCTTAGCTGCTTGTCTGAAGTATGGGTCACTTGAGGACCACTTTTCGTAATATTCTTCTAAATTGATTAGGTCTAAATGGAAGTAATTTCTTAAAAGCGTTTCTAGTTGGTCCACGTTCAGTTCATTTTCATTATTCTGATGGACTTGGCAAGTTAGGAATTCTTCGGATTGTTGAAGAATCCATACCATATTTTTGAATACGCCAATCCATTCTTCAGCTCCATTATTCGTTTGTTTTTGCCACCTATATAGTAAAGCAATAAGCTATGTAATTTTAATAAGAAAAAAGCTACAATGTAACAGTTGTCACTAACAATTTATATGAAAAAGGGAATTTAGTTGGTATGACCAGCTAGTATTGGTTGCCATTTGCTTCAAAGTGTATCAAAAATCAATTTTCGTTGCGAGTACCTCAAGAACCAATATTGTGTCTGCTGTTGTAAAAAATATATATTGTTTGTAATAAGATAGTACATTATTTGACTTTTAAAGTAATGAACTAAAAAGAACTTGTAGATATCAAACCAATATCCAGTTTGTTGAGCACAACATCAGCGACGGACCTATGGGGGGGCAGGCTGCCCCTCCAATACTTACGTATTAGAGACGGTATACTGATGTCCTACATTTTCTACATGATTTATTAGACTTGAAAATACCACTTAATACTTAATAGATACTTCCCGTTTGAGTTGGAAATTTTTACAGTTGAGTTGGCAAAAAGTCATGACGGCCCCCCCCCCAATTTTTTTGTCTAGGTCCGTCCCTGCACAACATAGAGTAGGAGATCTAACGAAGCTTTAACTTCAATAGATTGAATAAAGCAGCATGGTCTAGGAGCATAAGGTGTGAAGTACAAATTTGTGCGGTTAAAACCTAAATTTGACCTATACGGGTTTTACATAATTCGACGGGTTGAACTGGGTGGGTAGAAATTACGATAGTGACAAATGTGGGAATAATTCCACCATAGTAAATCTACCAGACCCCTTAAGTTAGTTGAAGTCCCATTAAGTAACCACATAACAAATACAATAAATCATTAATTGAACTTACCTAAAACTCTGACCTCCATTTAAAGTGCCCTTTAATTGGAGCTCTGTTGCTTTGCAGCATAGTTTAAACACCTGTTTAGACATGAGTTTTTTTTCTCTTAACACGACACAGAAGGCAACACAATTAGTAAGGTAGTAAGAGTAAGAGCTTAGAGTAAGGTAACAGCAACAAGGTTAGGTTATTTCGTTGTGTATTCAATTTTTCCCGCCGTGTGTCAAGAGGTCAGGTCTAAGAGTGGCACCCATCAGATCAGCGAAAGTTTCTCAACATGATTATGGTGGATCAGTTGTGTACGGATGCGGAAGAACGAGAAGACGATAAGGAGTCAGTAAACAGCTTAGATGGTACAATGGGTTCTGATTTAGTGCTCAGTAATTCACTGTGTAGTTCAAGAAATGAAACTCTAGAGCTCTCATTGACATTTGTTAGCAGCACAGACGCTAACGAAACCATATATATAAGAGAAGTATATGGAGAGCGCCGAAAGTGCTTGTTTTGGTCGCATTCAATTGGAATGTTTTTTGGGTATTAAGGTGGGTTCATAGCTCTCCGTTCATCCGTTGCGTTGATCCGTTAAACGGATAGTACATGTTGTTAAGGTTCATAGCAATCCGTGCACATTGTACATTTGCAACGTATAATCATAACCTAAATTTTATTCTGTACTGTACCCTCCGTGATTTTCAGTATGAAAAAATGGTACGAAAATAAGAACACGTTGCTATCTGAATATCACCGTGAAGAACGAATAGGTGAACACTGTTAACGTACCAAACATAACCTCACTCTTGTTAAAAACGGACCAACGGAAACGTAAATGTTCAACTTCAACCAACTTTTCCGTCGTAAACGGACGACGTACGATTTAAAAATTTGCTGTCTTCTGATTGGCTAACGGACAAACGGAAACGTATGAACGGAGAGCTATGAACTTACCTTTAACATTGTTGGTAAGATCCAAGTACCTAGATCATAACGTGAAAGATAATAGAAATGAAAGAACGATGAGAACTACTTAAGAGAATGGTTAAGGAAACTTGAGGGAAGAATAAACGGAATTGGATGAAAAGCTTGAGGGAGCCCTAAAAAACGTATTAGAAAAATACTGTGTAATCATATCTTAACATAGCTCGTACGGTTTATATGCAAATACCAATGAATAAAGAATACCATTACCAGGAAGGAGCATTACTCAGGTTGCATACAGAGAGAGTGCGACGGAAGTCGGCCATTTGCAAAAGCCACTTACGACTCACTTTTGTTATGGTTTTTGCAGTGACATAAAATAATGGTTAGTTGTTGTGCTTGTGATTGCTCCAAAACGGAAAAAAATAAAAGTTTGGGAATTACATTTCATGTGTAAGTATTGATACCTTTTATATAGTACATGTACATTTACAAATTTTTTATCGGAATGTAGTTTGAGGTTAGTTAAACGAAAGTCATAAGCGGAGTAGACACATGGGGGTTTAGATTAATAATAAACCGACCGACTTGACTTGATTAGGCCTTTTTTCGCGTTGACCAGTTCAAATGACCATTGAACGTGGTTAAGAATTTCCCGTTTTCGCACTCCCGGTCAAAGAATTTCTAGCCTCTACAAGGGTCTCGCAAGATTTACCCGTTCATGACCAGGTTGACCGCACTCCGCCGCTTGTTTTGACTTTTTGAGGTTTTGAATTGTAGGGTTAGGTATACGTAAGAGTAAATATTGGATATTTATGCCACGGCGAGCGGTTATTTTTCCAATTATGTTTAAAAAATCATCGTCACTTAATGCAGCAATTAGGTACCCAAGATATTCTGCGTTCATAATTGTTTAAGTATAGGTTATGTACTGCGAATTGTGGTTATGTTAAATGACCTCAAAACTGTTTTCGCGCTCTGTTCAAATGACCGTGAATTTGTATTGACCAAATCATAACCAAGCGTGACCAGAATTGTTCGCGTTGGTCAACGCGAAAAAACGCCTATTGTTTTCGAGTAAAATTCTTTATAATTGTATCCTTCTACAAATGTAAGGTAGGTACGCCACTGGAACAGGAAACTACTGTCCGCCATTTGCAAAAGCCATCGCGGGTCGCACGTATATTGTTGATATTCTCCTTCATTCTTTATTCATTGGCAAATACAAATCCGTAAAAACGCTTGAGAATGGAGCACAACCACAGACATCAAAAGAAAGAAAAAAATCACTTCAAAGATATATGGTAACAGCCAAAACAATAATCCCTTATGCAGGTAAGACACGAAGTCAGTAAAAGTCATGGCGTACCAAGAGAAAAATTTGTATGTAAGCAATGCGACGGCAGAATGTTCACTGAAAACGAAGAAGTACAGCTTATACTCAAGACCGAATATTTATATGTAATGTAATAAATCTAATATGAGGTGTGCAATTATCGCTCAATTACAGCGGTAATTGCATTGTAGAAAGCGAAAGAGCCCTGAAATAATTGCACAGTCCATATCCATGGCAACTGGCAACTCCTTTGGATACTTTCATAATACACCGATAATTTATAAGTAGGTAACGTCAGTTTGACAAGTAATGTTTTTCGGGAAATATTCCCCCAAATTACACTCGTACATCAAAATAAACCTGACTATTCAATTCATCTAACATTTGTCACATTTCAACCAGTGAAATGTCTCGATTTCAAATTGCTGCGCCAATGGGAACGAATTATAGTGAGAATTGCACGGATCATGCAACGAAAATAGCCACCGTCCTATAAAAATTGCACGCTAGTCTCTTACAACTTGTATGCAATTACAATCTTTATGCTCCATGCCAAGCGGGCTTACTCTGAGGATTACACACGGACCTCTAATTTTTTTTAAGAGGTCCGTGGGATTACACTACACTCTGTATTTGTTAACCGCTAACATCCTTAGGCGTATACCGAGAGACTGCCAAATGAGGGCCGCGTTTTTTTGACAATTGACAGCTGTTAACCTATTTGTGCGAATTGCTCCCGCAGTCCGCAATTCGTATGTTAACACGTTGCAACAATATTACAAAAAAAATATCATTTTTAAATTAAAACCTTACTCGCAAAGTAAAATTTGAAAATGGTTTTAGATCTCGATTTATTTAGAGCCGATAAAGGGGGCGATGCTGAAAAAATCAAAGAAATACAGCGAAAACGGTTTAAAGATGTAGGCCTAGTAGATGCTGTAGTTCAACAGGACACGACTTGGAGGCAACTTCGACACAAAGCCGATAATTGGAACAAATTAAAGAATTTATGTAGTAAAGTAATTGGAGAAAAAATGAAAAGCAAAGAAAATCAGGGGAATGTAAATGATGCAATACCCGATACTATTTCCCTAGAAGAACTTACATCGGATGTTTTAAAAACTATTACCGTTAACCAAATTAAAAAGGTATATTTTGACTATATCGATTTTAAGTATTAACTTGAATTTAAAGGTTCGAGTATTAATTGACGAAGAGCTAGTTAAAAATGAGAAAACTTTAAACGAGACTGAAAAACTACGAAATGCAGCACTATCCGAAATTGGAAACTATATACACGATTCAGTTCCAATCGATGACAATGAAGATAATAACAAAATTGAAAGAACATTCAGCGATTGCACCCAAAGGAAAGAATATTCACATGTAGATTTGATACATATGATTGATGGTAAAGACATTTAACAATCTTGTAAAGCGCGCTTTACTATGCCCTGTCTAGGAATGGATGGCGAAAGGGGAGCTGCTGTTTCAGGTGGACGCGGATATTACTTAACAGGCCCTGCTGTTTTTCTAGAATTGGCAGTTGTTCAGCTGGCATTACGAACATTAAGCAAGAAGGGGTACAAACCTCTTTATACTCCGTTTTTTATGAAAAAGGAGGTAAAGTCTTTTCGAGGGGTTATCTACTACTTTACAATCTACATATACTGGATGCCAATAAGGCATTATTTAACATCGTACTGTCTATAGGGCTCATAATGCTAACAATGCCAGCCTTTGACACTTAGACTACTAAAGTCACTATGCTCAATGCAATAAATCGCAATTTGATTGATTTTTTAGTTAAAAAAAAAACATCCTGGTAATGTATTAATGTGGTGATCTTCAGACTAAATTTAAACCTGAACATTTTTTTGAATGGTCTAATGTGTGGTTCATATCTTCAATAAACATATGCATCCATCTTTTTTTTGACGATCGTAGTACACCTGCAATGCATTACTATTTACACCAAACCCCAGAGTGGATAAACCCCTGGTTTTATTTGATATATTTTCAATAATATAACTAATTTTAGATTATGCAAGAAGTAGCCCAGTTATCTCAGTTCGACGAAGAATTATATAAAGTTATTGGTAAAGGCGCGGATAAGGGAGAGGTCGAAGAAAAATATTTAATAGCTACGTCGGAGCAGCCAATAGCCGCCTTCCACAGAGATGAATGGATTCCGGAAGGTGCATTACCAATTCGGTACGCGGGATACTCGACCTGTTTCCGACAGGAAGTGGGTTCGCACGGTAGGGACACCCGCGGTATATTTAGAGTGCATCAGTTTGAGAAGGTCGAGCAATTTTGTTTGACATCGCCCCACGATAATAAATCTTGGGAAATGATGGACGAAATGATCAGTAATGCCGAAGAATTTTGCAAGGCTCTTGAGATTCCCTATCGTATCGTAAATATTGTGTCGGGGGCGTTAAATAACGCAGCTGCGAAGAAATTGGATTTGGAGGCGTGGTTTCCGGGATCAAACGCTTTTAGGGAATTAGTGTCGTGTAGTAATTGTCTAGATTATCAAGCGAAGAGGTTGTTGGTGCGATATGGGCAAACGAAAAAAATGAACGCATCTACCGATTTTGTACACATGCTGAATGCTACGATGTGTGCGACAACAAGAGTCATATGTGCGCTGCTTGAAGTTCATCAAACGAAAACTGGAATAGCTGTACCTCAAGTACTTAAGGAATTTATGCCAGAGCAGTATAGGGAGGAAATACCTTTTGTGAAACCGGCTCCTATTGATTTAGAAAGAGAACAGAAGAAAAAGCAAAAGAAAAAGGGTGGAACTGAAGAATAATTTTCCTAAACTCAATTCTTACTTAGCTTTAATGGATATTCCGCGCTTTTAGGAAAATATATTGTACCTAACTATTTTTTATTTCGGCATAAGTATGCAACAACTAGTAAAGCAATTTCCCATTCTGTGTGCTTTTTAATAAGTATTGCCTATTTTGCGCCTGTGAAAACCCAGTACCAATAATTGTATGATGTGGAACTGCTGTAATACAGATAGTGAATGATAAAATTCAGCAGAACCTATTGGGCAACGCAAATTTGTACGTGGCGGTAACATATCATCTGTAATATATGTTTAAAAAAACTGGTCAAGGTTAATCTTGAGGAGTGGGGATCAAAACTAACATTTTTTTTTAAAATAATGTGATGGTGTAAGATGTTTCATTTTGTGGAAGTTTTTTTCATTGTTGTTTCGAAATAAATAAGTGTCAAACTGATCAAAGTATACTAGGTGTTCATGTATTTATGACGGCCAGTATACATTTTTTCAAAAGTACCTGGCAAAATGTAAGATTTGACTAAATAATTTGGCATATTTATTTTTTGACTCCTTAATTATTAAATTTAAAGGTATAAACACTTGAAATGCCTCAAGGATATTTTTATATAATTCGAGTAAATACTATACAAAATGTTTATTCCAAAGGAAATAAACCGACCATGTCATTTCCAACCAATTAATTGTGGTAATACCAGTTTAATGTCGAACTTCTCTACTAAAGACTTTAGATGGGTGAAACTATACCCACGTATAGAAAATAATCTATTAATTACATAAGCAGGTACGTAGAGGTAAATAATTTAGATTTTATGTTTTCTTACAGATTACCTGTAAGAAAACATAAAAACTAAATTATTTACCTCTACTTACCTGCTTATATATCATAAATAATTTCATATGGAGCAATACATCAATAATAGTACATTATATATCAAGGTAGAGAAGTACAGTATTATTGGCTGAGCACCAAGATTACATCTCGAGGCGCTTGCGCCGAGAGGTGTAAGGTGCAAAGGCAATAATAGACTTCTCTACCGTGGTATATATATACTATTTTTTTCACTACTAGCACTTGAAATACTCTAAATTAACATATTATATTTAATAAGAAAATCGGAATTTTTTGTTTATTAATTTAACATGTCATTCAAGTACGTACAAGTACAAGTCAAACAGGCCGTATTTTGTTCTGTCATTGAGATATTTTCAAACAGTAATTTCGTTCGAATTTTTTTAAAATGTGGTAATTTTAGGTATGTAATTTCTCTGGAAATGGCGGATGGTAGGAATTATTCATTTTAGAGAACTTGTCTAATCGTTCATTGAGCGAAATTTCGGGTTGTGTATTCTAAAAGTGACAGGGTGACAGTGCTCATTATTGACTACTAGTTAATAATGTCCACATTATTACCCACTTTGAACAAATGCCGAGAAAGCCTACTTTACAAGTGGAAAAAAGGTTAATAATAATATCATCAGACGCTAGTAGTGAAAAAATCTATTAATTACCTTTGCTTTCAAATTGAACAAGAACAAATCTGCATCCTCATGTTCACAAAACAATGGTTCTTCTGACCAGTGTGAAAGGGGAGAGGTCGGAGACAAGTCCATATAATAACCCAAAAAATTATTTATTTGGTCGCTGTTTACGTGGCGCTTGCTTTCTATATTCAACAATTTCCTATGAGGTTAAACAGTCTTCTTTTACTATGCTTTGATCTTTCACGGGCGCTGAACCTCTGCTGACAAAGTCAGTTTCAGTAAAGGCATGACAGTTAAGACTTTAAGAGGTCCTGTCTTTCTAAAACCTGCCCAGTTGTTTCATAAGTAAGTTGCACTATTTTTTTAAATCCTTGTGGAAGGGGAGAACAGTTTGGGAGTCACTGTAAAATTCCTATTAATTCATTTACAGATGAAACGCACTTAAAGCGCGCTGCACCGAAGCGACGCGGAGCGGCACTCTGCCATCTGTTATATATATATTTGACCATTTTTCGAATCTCGCCTAATACTATACAATGTATTCATGTTAATCATGTAAGTATACATGATTAACATGAATAGTTTAAATAGAGTGTGATATTTTCTATATTACCGACATACTATCGTTAGCGTCGCGTTTTCTGCGAATTCCGGCGATGAAGATATAATAAATTGCATATTGCAAATACAATTCATTTTCAAATCAGGAGTGTAATTCCGAATTATTGTAACGAAGCACCCGTCATCTAGGGAATTATACCAGTTTTAATGAACACATTTATGGAAGCTACCATCTTTAATGAACACCCGGTACTTCGACAAACTCACACGGGCGCTTCCTTATGAGAAATTGTACGTAGTTCCGTAACTTCATTTGAAGGGCCCGTCTTCAAAAATATTTGGGGGCCCTTTCCCTTACGCTTAATTTAACCACTTGGATTTCTAATGACAGCCATTTTAAACATATATAAAATTCACTAGAAATACACCCCATTCTTTAATAAAGATATCACCCTCATATCGATCTTCTGACGTTACTCGACTCTAAGCTTTAAAAAAAAATTTGATGCTTAGAGCTAGCTGCAGGAATTGCTTTTGAAGGCTTCAGGAATTGAGCAATTTTAACCAATTTATTGTTTAGCTGTTCAGCGTTTATTTTTCGCTTTTCTCTTGGAGGTTCCACTATGGTATTTTCGTCCATTCTGAGCTGTCTGCTTTCAAAATTTCAAACCATTGGCGTATCTACAGGCGCCGCTGGAGATACATTTAAACTCATTTAGTTTGATTAACGACTTCAATATATGTAAATCTGCCTTTTTTGAATGTCGCCAACTGTTTTGTCCCTGCAGAGGTAAATGCTGGAGTGTTAAAATCACTTAGGGACATTCATCTCCAAATACAACTTCAGTCTAAGGTTGCCATATCCAGGACCTTCGGATACCTTCTGGACTGCAGAAAGTCCCGCTAATAACAAAGTATTCAATGTACTTTATATAAGAGACTTCGGAATGTTATCTTTCACCAATGGGAAATGAGGTCAGTTTGCTTTTTATTCTATTTGAAATGGCTACTTTTAAACATATCAGATTTTGTATTAAATTAAGGTCAGATTTAAATTATTAAAATTCAAGAGTTACCTACTTCCTCGGATTGTTAATTTTTGTATATTGTGGATAGTGGATATTGCTCCAGATTTTTACCCTCTGTGATCAATGATTCGGTATTTTCTTCGACTCGGTTCTTTTGTCCGACGAGTTCTAAATAGGAACACGGATTTAAATCCATTCTGTCTAAAAGTTGTAGGAACTCTTTCGGTCTTTTTGATTCATTTTACACTTTTGATCAGTTATTCAATAAACTTTATTTTGTTTTTCCAATTCACTAAGTGTGTTATTTGCGTTGTACCTTTCCGATAGTAAGCTTGGGTACGAGTGAGCGAGACCTACATAATTAATAAAAGCATAACACTGAAGGAGTTCGGGAAAATTTCATTTTTTTCAGATTTTTTTCTAAATTAATTAAATTTTTGCCGGGGCCCCTTTTAAGTCGGGCCCGTCTTCATTGCGTACATTTGAGACATTGTAGTTACGCCACTGCTTAAGAGCTTTTTCAACTGGTCCAACAGGTTCGTGAAGCGGTCCAGCAGGTTTTTCAACTAGTCCAACAGCTTATCCACCTAGTTCAACAGCTATATTTGGTTTTAGACTGGCACCGGTTCCAAAATACGGTGGTCCGCTTCACGAACCTGAAAGGGAAGGGCGTAGGATCTGCACGTGTCTAATTGTTGTGACGTCACGAGCTCATCTGATTGGTTTGACGTCCCTTCCTGGGCCTGAACGAACATAGGTTTTCTACTCACCCATCGTCTTATGTTTTATCATAAAAGTCAACATACTGACCAGCGCAAAGGACATAATATGGCCACTTAGGGTGCGTCCACCAGAACTACCTAACTATATTTGCGCTTTTTACAGTATAAGCATGCTTACTGAACGCATTACTAATCAGATTGTTTGCAAGCGGTCGCCATTTTTTAAATCGTAATTTAAGCTCGCTGAAAAATTCTATAATAGCACATATTGCACAAAAAAGTCAACACTTTTGTATTTTAAAGATAAATCGAGTAATAAATGAATATGGGAGCATTCTATGTATAGGTCGGTGTATCGGGTCTTGTTTAAAAAAAAGGATTACAAAGTTGTTAGGCTAACAATGTTGAAAAGGCATGTGATTGGATGTTTTCGCAAAGAATGATGTTATTCTTTGAAAAAACATTTTACACACCAAGATTAGATACATGATGCGTATGCGCGGAATTTAGCCAGCAGCGAATAAAGTTGAAAAATGACATTAAAAAAAAACGCCTCGTACTTCAATGGACATACCGATCTTTACAAAAGTATTCTCTTTTTTAATCGTGACTGCAAGATTCACAGAGAAAATCCTTTTGAAAGGATGTCACGAACCTGGCTCACAAAACCTTATCTCAATTGAAATTTAGGATTCTGTGTTTGGATTATTAGTCTTAGATTCTAGTTCTCACAGGATATGATTCCATACGTCCAACTATGGCAATCAAATGTAAGACTTAGGTAGGAATTAAATGGGCCTCACTGGTTCAAAGACAGGTTTGAGCATTAAAGTGTTTAGGCGCATAGTGGAGCTAGTTTCAAGTGAAATTGCATCTAAACACAAGACACAATGGCGGCAGAAACAATTTTTAAAAAAGTTGGGAAACAATATAGGCATCAGGTGTAACCCAGTGTTGGACAATGTACCCGATGTGGTTGAACATCCTGAACTGAAGAGAACTATATATTATCACAATTAAAATCCCTGGATTGATACTGAACACTCAGTACCTATAGGGCTGCGTCGCTATACTAAAAGCAATATCACCGCAGCAAAGTGGAGATACTTCAGTGACTTGAGAATACACTTATTAGGTTGTGATATAATAATGAGTAATAGTATCATGTGTGGTTATTACATATTAGGTTGCAACTTCGAATGCCCATAGACCATGTGAATTATTTTTAAAATTAAGGTGTTAAGATTAAAACAGCAAATAAATAAGGTACAAATTACTGTAATTATTTTATATATACATACAGTTATCGAAATCATATACAGCAGCATACAC